TCCAGATTTGCGCAAGTGAGGAATATTAATTTACAGATAGAAAAAAAAACTATAAACATAGATGCCAAATGTAATAAATTCTTCAGTATACAAAATACAAAGCTTATAACCAAATGATACAGTAAACATAAAAATACAATACAATACCATGAAAGTGAATCACCTTCTAAAGAGAAAAGATATATTACCTTCCTTTTGAAACACTTTTTTTGTTTTGAAACACTGATAAATTACCTTCCCAAACATGAAATTTCACTGAATGCTAAAACCCCTTGAAGACTGCTTGACCACGTTCGTCTAGAGAAGAAAACTAAGCAAACTTTTTCAAAATTTGCAACTTTTCACCAATTTACTTGCTCAGTAAGAACACATATTCATCGAGATTATGTTAATCCCAATTGAGTTTACGAACAAAACAAAAATTAATACTTTTCAAAAGAAAAAGATCTGGAATAAAAGAAAACAATTTAGTCTTTGGATTCTAGCGATAGTAATTATTAAAGTTCTAAACTTTTTCTAGGCTTATTAAAATAAACTGTCCAATTGAATTGAGTTTATAGAGAAGAGAATTTGTGTTATAACAATTAAAGAAGATTTAGAAAGCAAATGTGACCTAGAGTGAAATTAGAAAGCGAAAAATGGTTTGGGATGAAATTTTCTCGGTTATTATTCCCTTTTCTCACTTGCATCGATATGCAAATTTGTAAGTGAGACACATTTGAGACATTTCCCATGGACATATTATTATATTATATACAATTGATTCTTCTAATTAATATTATTATAAATCTTATGGACATAAATAGAGATATGATTAGTGGGGTATATCTTGTCTTTCGATGATAGTCGACAGGCTTGATCAAATTCATGAAGTTGGAACACAATCAGATTCAATCTTATCCTCTTTATGGTAAATATCATTATCTTAAATAAAAATATAGTATATATGGTTAGAAAATAACGTCATAATATTATATTACAATAGAAAATATATACCAAAACCACTCATATATCATATATACAAGTATGAATTAACAACTATTAGAATTCTTCCTCTGCATTAATTGGTGGCTTTCAACGACGATCGTCACTTATAAACTATTAAAAATTACCTCTGTTACAATAAACCTTATCCAAGAACTTATGTACAGTTTGATTATTTTTTATATAGACTAACCATTAGAAGAATGAAGCAAATATTATAATTCAAAACATTTCAATTATATAGCATCTTTAGTTTATAAATGTCTTTGATTACTATTGCCCATTACCGATGAAAATATATATGATGAAAGCATGTTTCATATCTATATTCTAACCAACATTCTTAGCTAATACAGTAATAAAGCGGAATACTATTTATTATTTACAGTATAATAGTTTTTTTTCTTCTAGCTATATAAATATATATGTCCTGATTCACTTAAGAATGTAATGACGTATGAACATTCCTCTCGAAGTGACATGATTCCTCCTAACCAAAATGCTACAGAATCAAATAAATAGCCAAACCCACTTTCCAATTTCATTGGGAGCCAAGGAATATACTTAACACTAAACCCAACGTACCAAGTTGTAATAATAAAATTTAGAATCCTTCATTGTACAGTGTCCTCTTTCTCTTTCTTTTTTTTTGTGTGTAAATGAAATAGTGTATCCTCTTCTACTACAAATAATAGCAACACTCCCCGTCTTTCTCTAACCCATCTAAGAAACAATAACTAATAGTAGAATAATGTCGCAAACGAAGGTCTGTGTTGTATGTGTTGAGGAAAACAAAGAGTGTGAATGTCACCACGAAAAACAAGAGTTGGATTTGGACCTTGAGACGTCTCAGAATAGTTCCTTTCTTCACTCGGTAATCAACATGGTTGGCATGCTCATTGGTACGTACATATAGTTTAACACCATATCGTATGCTCAAAAAAAAACACCATATCGTATGAACAAATATTTAACTATAGATTTGAGAGTTGCGAGAGTGTGGTAGCATGTATTTCTCTAATAAGTAGTCTAAATTTATGTTTTTAACATATAAACACAATATAATAATATGTTAATATAATTTGTTTTTTTTGTTAGCCAAAGAGAGATAGTTTTGTCAAAATAAAATAAAAAGTTTCCACAATATATATAAGCCAGCAATTCTGACGTAATCTTTACGGTGACACAGGACTAGGCCAACTATCAATGCCATACGCAGTGGAAAGTGGCGGATGGATCTCAATCTTTCTCCTAATAGCCCTCGGAGTTCTCACCACTTACACTTCCCACATCCTCGGAAACTGTCTCCGCCGCAACCCTAAGTCCAAATCCTACTCCGACATTGGCTACTCCGCCTTTGGCCGCAACGGTCGCCTCCTCGCATCACTCTTTATCCACCTCGCAATTTTCATGGCGTTAGTCTCTTACACCATCTCCCTCCACGACAACATCGCCGCAGCTTTTCCCGCCACCTTCAAAAACCTCCACAACGGTTCTTTCCCGGCGGCTAAGCTGACGGCGGTGGCCGTGGCGATCGCTTTGCCGAGTCTTTGGATAAGGGACTTATCTTCCATCTCATTTCTTTCTTCCGGTGGGATTCTCATGTCAGCGATTATATTTATGTCGGTGGTTTACACGGCCGTGTTTGGAGGCGTTCTTGACGATGGGAGGATTCCGGTGCTCCGGTTAAGGAATATTCCGACGGTTTCGGGAGTTTATTTGTTCGGCTTCGGTGGTCACATCGTATTTCCTAATCTGTATACTTCCATGAAAGATCCCTCCAAATTTACAAAGGTACGTTCGCATATAAATTTATTACTTATTAAAAACAAAATATAAAAATAAATACTCTGTTTAAAAAGTTAAATGGTTTAGTTTTTTTACACATGTTAAAAAAAAAAAACAGAAAATTTTAATTACCAATGCATCATTTATTATAGAAACAATTCCCTATATTTTTAACCAATAAAATTTTAAGAAACACAATTAATTCTTTTCGAATCTACAATTTCTCATTAACTTATACATTGAAAATGTAAAAAATATATTTTTAAAACAAATATTTTTTCTAAAATGTTAATATTTTTGAAACGGAGGGAATATGCATGAAATATTGTATTTAATTACAATTTTTGCATGTGTTTTTTATGAACCATTAATTATACCGTGTGTTAATTTAATTGACAAGAAGTAGTTAGCATAAAATCATAGAAATTTTTTTTTATAACACTTAACATGTAGGAATAATCGTTGTGATACAAAGCAGAAAACAAGAAATCATAGAAATATGCATGGAATATTGTAGTTATTAGTTCACTACAATAATGTTGCTTACATGTCTTTTGGGTTATTAATGCAAAAAAAGATTAATATTTAATTAGACTTGTAATATAAATTAAATTTTCATATTTTTCTAAAGCTTGAACCACTCTAGGTAATAGTATTGTTTGCATGTTAATATTGATGTATACTGAATATACGTAGGTATCGATCGTAAGCTTCGCTACGGTGACGGCTCTGTACACAGCCTTAGCCATCACAGGAGCGAAGATGTTCGGACCAAACATAAATCCTCAAGTTACACTCAGTCTCCCAAAACATTTACTTGTAACCAAGATCGCTCTTTGGGCCACTGTACTAACCCCAATGACCAAATACGCTCTAGAGTTCGCTCCTCTAGCAATCCAGCTCGAACGCAGCCTTCCTTTGACCATGACCGATCGCACCAAGCTCGTGACTCGTGGTCTTGTGGGCTCAACTCTGCTACTAGTCATTCTAGCATTGGCTTTAACCGTACCTTACTTTGGTTATGTCTTGAGCCTCACGGGCTCCTTGGTTAGCGTCACCATCGCCGTTATATTACCATGTGCTTTCTACGTGAAGATATGCTGGGATGGTATGTCGAAGTTCACAAGAGCCGCGAATCTTGTGTTTGTTGTTTTTGGGTGCGTTCTTGGCGTTTTGGGATCGTTTGATTCGTCCAAGTTGCTTGTGAATAAGCTCATTCTCGTTCATGGAACTTGAGCCTTTTTTTAAAACGCGGTTTGTTGTTGCTGATGGTTTATAAAAAGCGGAAATAAAAGATAAACACAAGTCTTTACATAAAAACGTTTTCTCCGAGAATTGTTGTTGTTAATAAATCTTTTTCTCGGAGAATTGAAACATATATGGTTTGTTTTGTCAGATATATCTTGGTAATACCTTACTGGTCCCGACACGGTAATGTCGAGGTACGAAGTATAGGACTGAGTTCAATGTCCACTCCACCACAAAAGTTCAATAGTTTTAGAGTCTATATGAAGATAAAGATGTCTCCTTTCTCAGATTGTTCAACCGTTACGACCAGGGTTCACCTAGCCCAAATCAGTGATATTGTGTTCAAGTTGAAGACTATATTTGTTCAGTCATCACAGGTCAGTAAAGTGTGTAGTTGCTCAACTACTGTAACTAGCACTATCCGGTTCCTTAGTTCATCCTCTCTGTTCGTCAGCGCCAAATCCAGGATTGTTATATCCGCCTTTTATGTTGAGATTCACCTAGTCTCTTCAAGGAGTCTTTTCATTGGAGCTAGAGCTTGTCTTGCTCGTTCCGCATCTTGCCAAGCTTTGCAGCTTGGTCAATTCAACGTCGCTTGCGACTATTTCATGCTCGGGATAACCTATTCAAGGATGCATCTGAAGATTTTCCATGGTTCTCCATCTATCGAGCAAGCGTCTCTCGTAGTCTTTGTTTATCTCTTGTTCTCCTTTTACGCTCTGCTTTATGTTGTTCATCAAACCGTTGAGAATCCCTCCGGTTCTATCTTTTCGGATGTAATCGTTTGAACCTTTTAGATTAATATAATCGTTTGTGTGCCAAAAAAAAAAAGAAATGGTATAGTCTGGAATTCTGGATGTAAAAAGTTTTAACCCTTAACATCTTTATCCAATCATTGATTTTTATTATTAAACTTTAATGATCGACATGCTTTGAAAAAATACATTTTTTCCGGGATGAAAACATAGAAAATACATAATTTAAAGAACTTTGAACCACTGACTTGCTGGATCACACGAAGCATCCTTGGTCAAACACTTGCAAGGGTTAGCGACAATGCTGTTGTCACGTTCATCCACATCAAGACATAGCAACAAGCCATTACTTGTCTTAAACGACATATGCATCTTAGTAGCTGAGATTTGTCCCAACTTAGAGCACTTAGTGCCAACTCCAAGCTTCACCTTTTGTCCAGCTACATCTGGAGCTTCCACACACATTTTATTGATCCAAACAATGCCTTCTTTGGGATTAAAAGTCGATGGCTCGGATTTAGTGCATAGTTCTAGTCGAAGTGTGGGTACATTGCCTGAGTGGCTATTGGTGACGCAGAGACCAGTATGTGGGTGTAAGATAAGCTTTTTGTCTTGTAAACCGGGTCCTGCATATATATATATATATATATATAAATGTTATCAAATCGAATCCTAAACATTTTTGTATAGTTTTATATTTAAAAAATAATAATCTGACCTCTTAATGGCTGTTGAATTCCAGAGAGTTTCTGCAAGTATGTAGAGTTTCTGACGTTTTTCCAAGAAGCATCCAAAAGGCCATAAGTCTCACCCATATGTTTTGTACCGGTTCTCAAATAATAATCACCGGTTAAGGCCCAAACCGCCCAGTCCAAATCCTTCTCCGCTGCCCAAGCCACCAAACAATTCATATACCGGTTTCCGTTGACGTCAACGCCTCTCTCGTCAGTCCCAAACTCACTCAAGATCAAAGGAAAGCCTCTGTCGAGCAAGAATCCTCCGCTATGTGTCACTCTCCCGCTGATTTGGGCGCAATTATCGTTGGAGTTGTGTTTTACCCACGTGTTACCTTCGTGGGAGAAGCTGTACCAATGTTGCTCAAATACGAGTTTATCGGTGAAGCTGACGTTGAAGAAGCGGTCACGGAGGAAGGAGAGGTTTGTGTCGAAGTCTATGCCGGAGAGGATGACTAGTACTTTAGGGTTTGCGGCGTGCACTGCCTCTGCTCCTTTTGGCATGAACCTTCACGTAAACCATTAACAGTTTTTAATATGCTTGCATGCACGCATATGCATGTACGTATTTTCCAATATACGTGAAAAGCTTGACAATGAAGGTGGATCGGAATCCTAAATTATGTTCGTACGTTATTATATGATTTTACCGCAAATATGTGTGTAAACATATGATAATATTTATAGCCTTTTTAACCAAGTCATTTCAAATATTTTGCATGTTGTGCATGCTTGGTTATATTCCAAATGAAATGCATACCTGAACCAGAGGTCAGGGTAATCCCTTTTACCACGTGGCTCGTTCCTAAGGCTCATGCCAATGACATTAGTGACATTACGGAAAAGAGTAGCCATCTTGCTCAAGCCTTTGGCCCAAACGGCGGGATCAAAGTTAGGGTAGCCGAAGAAAGCGTCGAGGTCGTTGTCACTGCAACACCAGCCTGGATACGTCAAGTGGTTGTCTAGTATTACCATCAGTCCGTTTTGTCCTAGGTTCGATACCACTTCCTGGTAATAAAATAAAGTTAAAACAAACATATCTATATATAAGGTGAGATAGCTCCGTTGGAATTATGCACATTTTCTTTCGTTTGGTAAATTTTGGTTAGTTTTTGTTATTATTTCGAATTAGTTCACGTTTATATATTCCAGCTACTGAAACACAAACTGGTGTATTTTGGATCGACTACACAAATTCTATAGTATTAAAGTGTTACCTGGTATGCATTGAATATGGGAAGATTAAGGATTTTGGGATTGTGAGTTTGAATCCCAAGAACGTCATCAAACAAGTTCAAGCTTTCAAAAGACTGTTTCACAGTGATTTTAAGAGCCAAAGTGTCATTAGTCATCAAATCAAGAGGCCAAGTGAGCCTAACGCAGTTAAATCCCATTGAGACAATCTTCTTGGAGATGGAGTCTAATGGTTGTTTACTTAGTCCTTCAGCCACCACGGGCTGGAGATGAGCCGGCCAGTTCACGCAGGCTAGCTTCACTCTTTGGCCTTTCTCGTCCACGATCCATCTGGATTTTGTGGAGAGCGGAAAGCTTGTGGTTAGGTATGGAATCCAAGAAATGAATAATAAGAAGAGAGACAAATTGATGGTTCTCGCCATTTTGCTAGTTTTGCTTTTGTATGTTTCTTTGTGTTTTGATTATTTTGAATTTGAATTTGATTCGCAATTTATATAGCAAAGAGGTTGGTTTAGTTTCTGGTTGTTCGCAAATCATACGGGTTATGGTTAGAGTTTTTTTTTTTCAACCAAAAAAACAATTAAGATAAAACAATAGTAGTATTAACTGTAAGAAACAAAAAAAAAACAGCAATTGACGGATCATGATGTTAACAGATTCTGAGCTGTAAATTTCTAGAGAATTTTCAATTACTTTTCAAAACCTAAAAGACTCTAATATATATGTTACACATACATTAAAATTATGTGTCTGTACTTATCTTGTTGTATAAGAAGAAAAGACAATAACCACATTTTTCTAAATTGCAAGTTTTAATTGATATACGTATTCTGTACTTCTGTTATAACAAAAAGATAATAACAAATTTAACGTAATAATTGCTAACAACAGAAAACGCTTTAATAATACTACGTACAACTATATTTTTGTGTATGGGATAACTAAAGTCATGTTGAAAATGAGATCAATATGTTACAAATCATAGCTTTCTCAAATAATTGTAGGCGTAGATATGATCATTTTATTTATATTGCTGCATATATACTTTAAATTATTTGTTGTATTAAGATGCATAAATAACTATAACTAGAGTTTCACCCGCACATTCGTGCGGGTATATTTTTTATTTTATAAATATATAACTAAAATTTTTAAATATATGATTTATATTTTAGCTTTAACTATAATTATATCTAATAAGTAAATAAAGAAATACTTATTTTATAAAAAAAAATTTAAATTTTTGGTAAGATCTTGTTAGATTTTTTTCAACAGATTTTTTTGTATTTAAATTCATTTATTATTAATATATTAATTAATTATTAAGATATTTTTAAAATAATATATATTTGATGGTTAATGTAATAATCAAATATGTCAAATTAAATAATTAATGACATGGTCCAATATAACTTCTAAATAGTAGATAAATTTGGTACTTCTCTTTTAAATGAGAAGATTAAGACACTGATGAAACAATGTGTTTCAATAATCCCTAATGTGGAAAATCATGCTTCGATGTCTTATATCTCCTTGTTTTTTTTTCTTCCTACCATTGAAAACGAACCAGTCTAAATACACAGCAACGGGTCCAAATAAAGCCGCACCAACTGCTGCACCCATCTTCCCTAACCGGATCATTTCTTCTTCCGGGTCAACACAAGCCTCCATAGGCCGACCACACAAACCCTCGTTATTAGCAAAGTTCTCCGGTCCAACACGCATTGTTGTTTCGTTGAAACGTGGGATAGGACCGGTCAGTGAATTATCTTCCACAGAAAACATACTGAGTCGAGGAAGTGACGCTAGCTCGGGAGGAAGTTGACCAGTGAAGTGGTTATGCTGAAGCTTAAGAATGTTAAGGAACTTAATATCTGATAAACTGGCTGGTATTTCACCGGAGAATTGATTGTAAGAGAGGTCGAGATTTGTAAGAAATGGAACCAAAGAGGCCATGTTGGATGGTAAAGCTCCATAGAAGTTGTTTCTAGAAAGATCTAGATCTACCAAACCAGTACAGTACATAATCCCATAAGGGAATTCTCCTTCGAGACCGTAACCAGAAAGGTTAATGCTCAGAACCCTATTCTCATCGTTATGCCAGCAAGTCACACCAGTGAAGTCGCAGATATAACCTGCAGTCGTGTTGGCAAATACCCAACTCGTTAAGTATCCTTTTGGATCCTTGACTTGGGAATATATGTCTCTCAAGCAATATACGTCGGCCTTGTTTGCGCATGTGAAGCTAGACACTAGTAAGAACCAGAGACAAGTTGTGATTACGGTCATGATGGACATTTTTTTGTGGTTGTGGGTTTTCAGTTGAAAATAACGAAGAGAGAGAGATTTTAGAAGAAATGGCAAGTGGAAATTTTAAGAGTAACCAAGAGCTTGAACAAGAGGAGCTATAAAGTCTCTTGTCGTGTAAAATGAGTTGAAGGAAGATACCTGAGTGAGAATATTCAGAAACAAAGATTTTGCAACTTGTCCCATGGGTTTGAATATTCAACTGTGGAAAAAGAGTTAAACATGGTGTCCATTTCGGGGAAGAAGCGTGTAAAACATGGGATGTTTGGTTCAAGAAATCTCCACAATGCTCCTAGCAAGGTTGGCCTTCTTTTTTCTCCCATCTTGCCACTGATCATTAAAACATGATTTCTTGGATCCATTTCTAAATCACACACACACAAAAACTGATTATCTTCTGTGGATACTGTACAAACTGAAAGCAGAAGTTAGAGGAGAGCTATAAAACTGTGTCAAGATTCTCATATACACACGCTGTGTTTGTGCTGTATAAAGCTGGAGCATATAGCATTTGTTTTATATTGAAATTCTCTGATTGGATGTTGTATTGTTTCTGAATCGATTTAGAAGTGGAGAAGCGCATAATATGGTCTCTGGTTTCTATGTACAAACATTCACACATTTGTGGTGATTCAGGTCTTGTACTAATAATACTTACTCTCATCATTCATTGTTTCAAGACTTGTGACATGAAAACAATCAATGAATTGAAGTTTCACAGGCTCTTATTTAATCTTATTCATGAAGAATCAAGTCTCAACATAATATTATCAATGAATACCCATAAAAACAATGGGATTTTAGAGAGGTTGACCACTAATCCACCTCTGAAACATGAGAAAGCTTTCATTTGGTTTAAACTCTACCGTATGCCCACCTCCCTGCAAATTAAAATAAAAAATAAAATATATAATCACTTTTTTGCATTAATTATAAAGGCAAAGATTCAGTATTAAGAAGCTCAATGACAAAAGCAAAATTAAAGACTTGCTTTGACAGTAGCATATGTCATGTTATTGGCATAAGTCTTAGTGTATCCAGCAATTTGATTGTGTATCATCCATGGCCTCCAGTTATCAATAATGGAATAACCAAGAGATCTTATCCACGCTTGAGTTGAAACAAAAGGCACCAACAAGTCGTGATCACCACTATATATTCACCCCAAAACGTAACATTAAGAGTTTTATATAAACTTTATATATATATATATATATAAAAGGTTAGAAAGTTGATAAAATCAATCTAACCTGAAGATGAGAGATCTGTATCCTTTGATGCTATTATTAATATGGTATGGTATGCTGCTTTTGATGTCGATATTGTAAGGTTCACCCGAACAACGTACCCATTTTTCTATGCTTCCCTGAAATCATATTCAATGTTCTTGTAACATCCCTATTTTTAGTATATATATTAGTGGTGTATGTAGATAGGTTTAATATAACTGATTTGGCTAAAGACGGACATGGGTGTTATAGTTGTTTTCGTTACCATCATTATTACATACCTTAACAACATGAAGCGCTTTACGCACACTCTCGTTATTGGCCCAGAGGGAAGATAATAAATCTTTATATACCTACAAGTGGATGCAAAAGCACTTCTAGTGTTACATAATATCTCTCGATGGTCTTACAAGTTCATTACATTTCCAAGCATATCATATGTGAACTAATAGAGAGAAGATGGATTGCTTACATAGCATTCGTCTGCAGCCGAATCGTTTCCAAGGATAATTACTCCTCTTTGGAACGACGACGCTTCTTCGCACCGTGGTACTAGTATATTAGCAAAATTTATTCTAGAAATACACTGCAAAAATAAACCAAAAAACAACAATAAAATCTTTTACTAGATGATACTAGACTAACAGACAACTAAACACTATATTATATAAAAGCATCCTCTATGATACAACTATTATGATCAATGTATATACCTCTATGAACTGGTAATAATATTTCAAGCACTCTGTGTTATGTGGATCAATAGTTTCATAACTTCCTCTGCAACTTCTCTTCAACGACTGCAAAATAAAAAATATGTTTTTTCTTTCGTCAACAACCCATTTTATTAAATCAAGTTTTGATTGATAGAAGAATTGTTCCAAAGAACAACTTCTACCGTTCATCTCTGACTTTTAAAGGTTGTTTGTTATCTAACTCCATTTATGCAATGTGATATATTTTAGTACCTGGAAGAGTTCATCAGAAATTACTGCCATCCCATGAGCAAATGGAATGCGTTGGTTTGCATCAAACTCAGTATCTGTTACAGGGTTGCCTAGCACATAACCCTATTGTTTTGAGAGAAAATATAAAGTATTGTCCATGTTTGTTTGAAAGTGTGTTTATAGCATAAGAAGCAGCAATGTAGTAGTACCTTAAGATTTATTTGAGGTTTAAACCCAAGATCATTTCCTGCATCATCATCATGTAGAAACTGTTATAAAGTGAAGATAAATGATCAAAATAAAAGATACACCTGGAGAGAGAAAGAAACAAAGAGGAAACATACACATACCATTGGAGATTTCTTGAACGGTGGCCGGAATAATCTTACCAGAATATGAATCTCCAGTGACATAAAAAGGATTCGAGATAAACTCTCTATGCTTACTTAACCACTGTAAGATATCAACAACAAAACACACACTCTAATAAGAGAATATCTATTCAGAAAAGAAAAAAAAAACGTGTGGACTAATGCCTCGATAAAGTCATATGGATAAGGTAGCTTTTAGGTGGGTTCTATTTATCGGACTTAGCTCAGAGCTTAGTATGGAATAGTCTCATTATTAGAAACTTTTTGTTTTTCTACATTTACACACTTAAGTTCATCTCTCTCTTTTTATTAACCTTGCGAATAAATTGATGGATATGCTTAGCTTCTCCTGAGTCACTAGGTGTATCAAGGAGTTGAGTTGTTGCATAGGAGAAGCCCGTACCAACAGGCTGGTCCAAGAAAATTATGTTTGCCACCTATCAAATAATAATCCAATATACTTTAAGCAGAAATCAATAATAATCCAATACAATGAGCAACATAACGAGCATTTTGTTAGTAGTGTTGTTACCTTTGTCCATGAATATGTTGTAGGAAGCAAGGCGGGTATACTACCTCCATTTAACAAGAAATCACTAACATTAAATGTCACTGGCCCTGTTTTACAAACCAGTTGAACCGCAGATCCCTAATCGGTATATTTCGATATTTTACAAAACATAATTGATTTAAGTCTTTCTATTTTTACCGTTCTCAAAAAGGAGACCAGTGAGAGAAGAACAGCCAGGTCCTCCAGTTAACCAGAGAAGAAGAGGATCTTCTTTTGGATTCTTCTCAGATTTAATGAAGTAGTAAAACAATTGCAAATGCTCTTCTTCACCGACACCAATATACCTTCATTCACAAACAAATGATCTAATATATGGTTTTTATTTCACTCTTTTAGCACAAAACATAATAAATATGATATGAAAAATAAGACACAAACCCGGTCTCAAGCTCGAAAGGGAGAGGACCTTCAAAACCAGGAAGAGAGTTGACGACAGAGCCAGAACACGCATGTAGGTTTAAAATAATAAGTAAAAGAAGCAGAAGCAACTTCTTTGCCATTTTTAGTTTCTCGTTATTGCTTTATCGAGAAAAAGAACTATCGAATCTTTTATAAAAATAGGAAAGTGGAGAGCAAATAAGCATTGTTTTGTTTTAACTAGATGATTATTAAATATTACTTCAAGTGGAGGGTAGGTACTGTATTTGGTAGGGCTGGGACTTAATATCCGCTATCCGTTATCCGATCCGGGATCCGATCCGATCCGCTCCGAAAAAACGGATATCCGGGGGGTCCGGATCCGGATCCGGATAGTGATTTCACGGATCCGGCGAATCCGGATCCGAATCCGGATAGTTAAATTTTCGGTCCGGATATCCGGATCCGGATCCGGCCCCACTAAATATTTTAAAAAATATTTAAAATATAATTATATTTATATAGTATATTATATATTTTATTAAATATAACTAATACTTAATTCTTTAGTAATTTCTATTATTTTAATTTTAATTTTTTCCAAAATAATATTTTTTAATAGAATAAATAAATACTAAATTTTTAGTTTTTAATGTTTTTATTATTTTTTTTAAAATAAATCGGATCCGGATATCCGCGGGTATTCGAGTTTTAGTCCGGATATCCGGACCCCGGATATCCGGATGGCCCGAATCCGAATCCGGATAGTAATTTTACGGATCCGCCGAATCCGGATCCGGATCCGGATATCTTAAAATACCCTGGATATCCGATCCGTCCCACCCCTAGTATTTGGCAAATACATCGTTATCACTATTCAATTCATACGGTCCACAACTTATCTAGAAAAAAAATTCATACGGGTCCACAACTAATCTAGACCAACCCGAATGAAAATTTTTTTGGTTGGATTTCTTATCAAATTAACAATTTTACTGTTAAATATATATATATATGTCTCCTTTGACCAAATAAAAAAATCAAATATCTACTGAATTATTGGCCATTTATATATATATATATATATATATATATATATATATATATATATATATATATATATATATATATCCGAAATAAAAATTTAGACTTAATTCTCTATAAATATCCATTAATGCAATATTTTGTATAATTGCGAGGCCAAATTCATAAATAAAACAAAAAAAAAACAGTTTGGAACTAAAATTTTAACCAAGATTTATCTGACCCATTAACCCACTCTATTTACAAAAATCCCAAATCTAAGGAAGAACCTTAAATTCGAGTTCCACATTTTGATTGTAACCAAGCTTTAATTTTCAAAAGCAAAGGTATGGGGTGATGTTTGGGTCTTCAAGTACTGCATCAACTTTGGATCTTCAAGTACTGCATACAAAGTCTGCCTTTGTCATTTTGATCACTCATGGTCGAATTTGGATCAGAACATAAAAAGTAGGGTTTGTTATGTTAAGAATTATTACAAGTATTTAATGGGTTTGGTTGAATATAAGATGGGAGAAGAATTTAATCTACTTTTACAAAGAGAATGTTGTTTTTGTATTCAAAACTAATTTAGGAGACGATGAGCAATGTAATGGGTGTTAATGAGCAGGCGATGGCTTACATGAGGGTGGCTGCTATAGCAGCAGCAACAGAAATCTGGTTTGTCAGGACTAAGATGTGAGGAAAAGCTGCAGAGTGGATGAAGGTGAAAGAAAGTGAAATTGGAGATCAAAATTTTTGTGGAATATCAAACTAACTCCCACATTAGAAAATTAGATAAAAATGTCTAGTATATAAAGATATGTCAAACTCTAATTAATACGAGATTTTTTGGAAAAAAACAAAAAGTAAATCTATACGGATTTATCTATTAGACCCAAAATGAAAATATTGTACTAATCGGACAATAAAGAGTTGAACATGAACTCACACAAACCCAACAATTGATATTAGAATAGTTTGACGAGAAATCTACAAGAAGACCAAAATACCATTCGAAATATGAATGGGACCTTACGAACTATAAATGAGAGGTATATGTGACAGAGATCATGTCAAAAGATTTTAAAAATTCAGTTGTAGGATACGAGATGAATGTGATCTTTAATTTGAAGAGAGATTGTGAAATATCAAACTAAATCTCATATTGGAGAGTTAGACAAAGAGTGTCTAATATATAAAGAGATGTTGAACTCTAATAATATAAGTTTTTTTTAGGAAAGAAACAAAAAATAAATTCATACGAACTTATTTATTAGATCTAATATAGATAATATCGTACTAATCAAAATACTAATCGGACAGTAAATAGTTTGACATGGATACAATCCCAACAATCTTGTTGTTAAGAAACTGAAAAAATGAAAGTGCAGGTCTTTTGTTTATGCTTTCTTAAGTCTGGGTCTGGTTTAATTGGTTAGTCGGGTATGGGTTTTTAATTGTAGTGTTTTAGTAGAGGTAATTAGATCTTTAATTGGGTCTTCTACTGGTCTACAGTCTGGTTTATTAGATTTCCAGTTTTAATTATGTATACTGAACCAAGTAAACCAATTTAACTGGTGTGTATGTTTAGAACTTTGATTAAATGGAGAAATAAGTATTTAATTTTTTTTTATGGAGAATTAAGTCTTAAACTTTTATTTTGGATATATATTATATATAATGAATAGATATTTATTGCTATATAATAATTTCCGTGGGAAAATAACTCAGTTGATCCATTTTTACTTATCAATATAGTTTCACAAATTTTCACACGTGACATTTTTTATCATCCACAAATAAGTTAGTTAGTTCTGTCAACCTATTATCCAGAAAAAAAAAAAAAGCTCTGTCAACCTTTTTTTCCAAAAAAGAACTAAATTTTGGTACCTACCTGTCTTTCTCGTCTCTTTTGTGATTACTATGAACCTTTTAATTGACCAAAGAGCTATACCAGTACCATTGAAGATTACCAAATCTCAACTCCCAACAACTATTTTTATTGTTTAGATGAAATGGTAGCGTGTAGAAGTAAAAGAACAATAATGTGAAAGTTTAATCGAATGTTAAATGTAAAACATAATAGAGAAATTCTTTAGGATAGCCCTAAAAAAATTTTTGTTATAAATATAGATCTTATGATCAAAATAGATTTAAATGTTTTATATAAAAAAATTAAATTACATTTATATCATTTAAGTTAATTAATCCTAGATTTGTTTTTTGTTTAGAGTTAAAAAGCTGTATTTTGTGATAGGATTTCCAATATTTTAAAAAATCACTTTTCAGATTTTTTAGAAAATATTACACAAAGATCATTTTGGTTTTTTATAATTACACTAGATGGTTCCTTTTAAATTTGCAGGGTACAAACAATTTTAAAATTTTAAGATAACATTAAAATGTTTTTGGCACACAATAATATATTTTATATTTTCAAACTGAATGTAAAATTTTGAGAAATATTTATTTTAAAAAGTATTAAATGATCAAAATCAATAAATATGTTTATTAAGAAAATATTTTCCAAAAATTCACATTCAATTTAAAACATATATATATATATATATATATAAATATATATGCCAACAACATTATAATGTTATCTTAAAATTTTAAAATTGTTTGTATCTGCAAATTTATGAGCAATCACCTAGTGTAATTATAAACATCTGAGGTTCTGATACTAATTGTTGAAATTATAAAAATTCATGTCAAACACTTTATTCGATTAGTATAATATCCACTTTGGATGTAAAAGATAAATCTGCATAGATTTATTTTGGTAAAAAAAAAAACGTAATAGCACATGATTAGTGAAAAGTACAGAAACAGTTGACTTTTCAAAATAAAAGATCAGATGATACTAAAAAGCTCCAAAAAAATCGTTTACATTTGTTCAACTTGGACAGAAAAGCCACATCTGCAACGTTTGGTTTTTACAGATGTTTTCTCATCAAATGTTTCTTGCTCATCAAGAAACACATGTTCATGTTCCTTTTCATCTCCATGTTCATGGTTTTCATCTTCACTACGATTCTTTCTTCCTCCTGACCTTCCTCTCTTGACCCCTCCTTGCTTTTTAGGTGTTTTTACATTCTCCGCCCTAATGACAGTCTCTGGTTTCGTTTCCACACTCCTCGTTTTGACAACATCATCCTCTGTGTTATTGGCGTAACGGTTTTTCAATCTTTCACGGGTTAAGATAGACGAAAGAAGCTGATACCATCTCGAAGCTGCTTGTGCTTCATTTCGTCTTCTCTCTTCCTCTTCTCTCATTTCTTGTTCTTCCGCATATGCCTAAACACAAAACCAAAAAGAGAGATAAATCCAAAGATCCATCCATACTCTTTTTTTTTTTTTGTAACACAAACCATAAAACTATGTGTGTTCAGCTGGTAGTTTTACCTCGAGGATTGTGTCTTTGAACTCGGTACAGACCACAATACCTTCAAAGACAGGAGTGGCACGTCCACTTTTGTACTCGAAACCAACCATTGCAGGTGCATAATCTATTCCAAATCTCTTAGCAACCGAAAATATTCGAGGAAACCTTAAGTGGACTGTTCCAGGTGGGAGACATTTCTCAGACCACACATCAACTTGACCACGCTCGTTCTGTAACCCCAAACACACAAAATAATTTTTACAGATTCCATTGAAGTGAATAAAAGACTGAGATGAAGGTGCTTTTACCTTGGGAACAATTCCATTAACAGCATGAGGGAGACACAATGGTTCCATCTGCCACCTACCGTATAGTTCCATGCACCGAGTACCATCTTCACTGTCCTTGTTCCCATCTCCAAAATCTTTTACTTTTCTTATCTTTGAGTTACGTTTAAGAATCTAGTGTGATAGTGGACATCAAGATAGGGAATGAATAAAGATAAATCATCAGGGAGAAAAAAAAACACCTATACCTTTAAAGGAACTTCATTGGCCTTAAGTTGAAGCCCATCACGGAGCCAACTTTCTTTTGTTCTAAGAGTCTGCACACAGGTTCGAGAATAAACGGAATGACCAGCGCAGAATCCAAGAACCGGACCTTTTGGCTGAAGTATCTGGTTCTTGTGAAGCCATTTCTCAATAGCATAGAGTTCGTGAGTTTTATAGGCCTACAAAAGATTAATAAATGTCTCAGAAGTTTCAAGTGAAGCATGAGCCATGAGCTATAAAACCTTACCTGCTGG